TTTAACGACTAAAAATTTGCATTTGTGATTAGACCGAGATGCCCTCAGATTGGTAGTTAACGCTTTTTTTTTGAGTCCGCCGTGCCGCCCATTCTTATTTTCTCATTATTCCAGACTGGCCTCTTTCTGATGCCGTTCGGCAGCCAATCACTAGTGGGCACCCATTTTATGCGTTTAACAGGATCGTAAAATTTTGCCTCGTTTGTTGTGCGGCTATATGAGCTTCGGAGGAATGTGTGCCATATTTAACTACCTACATCTTATTGTCGATATCTATTTTTTCATTTTAATTTAAAGTTTCTAACAATGCAATTTTAAAAAAAGAATAATTCAATTTATTTTGTGACTGAAAAATATATTTTGAAAATATTAAGAGAAAAAACGTTCATTTGGTAACGCGAAAAAAATATGATTATAAAATGTTTTTACCACAAGTAATTAGTAGGCTTGTTGGAAATGTATTTAACGTTTTTTAGAGAAATTTTCTATAATGTTTAGTTCAAATTAAAAAAAGTTAAATCGATGAAATATGTAGAAATACAGTCCATAATATTATTATTATTATTATTATTATTAGTCTCTTCAGGACCTGGCAGAACATATGGGTGGCACAACACAAAGGAGTATTTGGAAACGAAAGAGCAGCTTAGTCAGTAAGGCAGCTGGGAAAACTCTAAGTGGTATTTCATATCAACATGTTTGGTGGTAAAGAAAGAGATACATAGAGAAAACCATAAGCTCTATTTAGAATTTTTTGGAATCAGGCAGTCTAGAATATTCATAGAGAGTTCTTCCAAGAACATACAAAATCATCTGCAAAACCTTAGCAGTAGTGAACTAACGGCCGTAACAAGAATCTGCTGGACACTAGGGCATTAGAAGATACCTTAATATGTTAAGGATAGCTAATGACTCTTCATAAAGAAATACAGTACTACCTTTGGAACTTAACCGCTACAGAAGCAACCGACTAACGAATTCTTCTATCCGCAATATAAAATTTTAATGGGAAAACAGTTAAAACCAATATGTTTGCTAAACACCATATCCCGCTAAGTATAATTCCAACATTAAATACGAAGTTAAAAAGTTTCTAAAATCCCTGTATCAGCTGGAACTACCCCTAGAAAAATTTGCCATGAACTAGGTAACAAAATCAATACAGCAGTTAAATCTCAAAATATCTTCTGGATGTGATCGAATCAGTCGTAAATCTTAATGAACTTTCAGATATGGGACTGAGATATTTGACACAATTCTACAATGCAGTTATTTCCCGCTGTTGTGAAAGGTAGTCCAAGAGCAAGTTCGAGATGACGCCCTATGGAGTGGGCAGGGCATGAGAAGAGTTCTGTCAAGTCAGAGAGCGAATGTAGTAACATTTCGAACGCGCTCTGTCACTCAGAGAAAAAATCTGATGTGTCCAACACATGACTTTCCTATCAAGTTATTATAGGCATTTTCCGGTTATTTTGTACAACCTATTGCAGCATCTCTATAAATGTTTAGAGGATAAACTAAATATATACATTTTCCACATACATCTACCTCGAAACATTTTTCTATAGATATTCATTGAAAACGAAAATACAGAAAAATTTTAATTTAGCACTTTTCCATTACGGTCCATTTTAGAAAAATCATATATAAACAAAAATTATAGAAATCGATATCGCAAACAACTTTTAGTTCAACAATTTTCATAAAAATCAGAATTTTGCACATTTTGTCAAATTTCTCGAATACGGACCATTTCAGGAAATTTTGACATAGAACAAAAATTATAGATAATAATATTAGAAGTAACTTTTATTTGAACAATTTTCTTCTCCAAACATAAATAACAGATATATTCCATAAAATATAAAAACGGCCTCCCATAAAGTACCCCCCCAGATGTTCCGACTTTGTCCAAAATCTAATCATTTCACGTCAGGCCGAAATAAACCTTAAGTTTAAAATTTAATGTTTTTTCCTTTATCCGTTTTTGAGTTTTCTTCAAATTTCGAAATTTACACATTTTCTCAAATATCTCGAATACGGTCCATTTTAGAGAAATTATGTATAGGACAAAAATTATAGAAAATTATATTACAAACAACTTTTATTTGAACAATTTTTATAAAAAATTATTTTTTTTACATTTTCTCAAATTTCTCGAATACGGACCATTTTAGGAAAATTTTGCATAAAACAAAAATTATAGATAATTATATTAGAAGTAACTTTTATTTGAAGAATTTTCTTCTCCAAACGTAAATAACAGATATATTCCACAAAATATAAAAATGACCACCTATAAAGTACCCCCCCAGATGTTCCGACTCTGCCCAAAATCTAATCAGCTCATTGGACGCTGAAACAACGCTTAAGTTTAAAATTTGGTGTTTTTTTGTGTATCGGTTCATGAGTTATGCGTTATACAGACACACACACACACAGACACACACACAGACACAGACACACACACACACACACACACACACACACACACACACACACACACACACACACACACACACACACACACACACACACACACACACACACACACACACACACACACACACACACACACACACACACACACACACACACACACACACACACACACACACACACACACACACACACACACACACACACACACACACACACACACACACACACACACACACACACACACACACACACACACACACACACACACACACACACACACACACACACACACACACACACACACACACACACACACACACACACACACACACACACACACACACACACACACACACACACACACACACACACACACACACACACACACACACACACACACACACACACACACACACACACACACACACACACACACACACACACACACACACACACACACACACACACACACACACACACACACACACACACACACACACACACACACACACACACACACACACACACACACACACACACACACACACACACACACACACACACACACACACACACACACACACACACACACACACACACACACACACACACACACACACACACACACACACACACACACACACACACACACACACACACACACACACACACACACACACACACACACACACACACACACACACACACACACACACACACACACACACACACACACACACACACACACACACACACACACACAGACAGACATCATCGCGAAAATAGTCAAAACGGATTCAGGGGACCTCAAAACGTAAAAATCCGTCGAAAACTCGAGGTCGAAAAAAATCATGATTCCTATACTTTCCTTATATCTGTATACAGATAGGAAAGTAAAAATCATAACCTCAATCCAGTATGTCAGTCAACGGTCATTTAATTATTATGCATTACAATAGAATGACATAAAATAAACTTTCAGAATTTACTTATAATAATCTATAGGAGTTAAATAATTTTAAAATACAAATATTACCTAGCACAAACACACAGAACAATAATATGTGCAGTTCGTTGGCATAATTGACATTTCAGATCTAGATCTTCTAACACAGAGTTAAAAGAGCGCACTCGGAGTCCATACTCAGAGTCATATCGAACGCGATAGATCACACTCCGAATCTTTAAAACTCACGGTAGTCATACTAATATCTAAAGGCTTGGTTCCGCTTGTGCAGCAGACGCATGTAGCCACTGCTTGCAGCCGCTGCTGCAGCGGTCGCAAGGACTGATATCTGTGCATCGTTATGGTATTGGTTCTGCTAGTATAGTGCGTCGGTCGCATTACATCCATGCTAGAAGGACCAGTCTGGACGCAGCAGTCATTGCAAAACCACGTGTTTTTCGGTAGTGTTTGGAGATATTGTTTTTGTTTTTTAATTCCTTGGTTTTATATAATAATACAAAAGAAGAGTGGTGAGAAACACTTCTCCCGTGATGAGGAAATGGTACTAATTGAATTGGTGTCATTTCATAAATGTTTGTATAACAGTTCGGATAAAAAGTTTAAAGACAATATTGCCAAAGATAATGTGTGGAAAGAAATAGCATCTCACATTGAGGGTAAAACAGGTATGTAATATAAACTTTTTTGCTAATATTATAATATATAAAGTTATTATTTAAAGAAACACAGATAATGAGATATACAACAAAGTTCTTAAGTTCTTAAAACTTGATTATCCTGCAAAGGTATTCTTCCTTCGGTCATTGAAAAATCTTTAAATTTATCCCTTACGACAAATCCTTCGGCATTGGCAAATCCACCACCTCTTACTAAAAGTAACATATTTCTTCTTTCTTGTTCGACTGCTATATTTGGTCCAAGCTCAATACATTTTCTGGTGTCATCCAAATCTTTTCTCAGTACATTATGGAGGCACACTGTTGCCATTATTAACAAATCTGCAGTGCTTGGCTTAACTGCAAGAGGCGTAAAAAAACTCTGAACGTTTGGCATAACAATTCGAAATTCTGGAAATGTGGCAGTGTAAAATCCGGAACCCAAAAGCGAAAGATCTAAATGATTCACCAGTTGCCAGATATCTGAAATAAAAAAAATTGTTTTATTTTTACAGATGGTTAATGCAAAAAGAGATGGAGGTCTATTCGCGATACATACAAGAGACTAAAAAGGAGTGGCAAATAAGGAACCGGATCATCAGCAGCAGTAAAGCGCAAAAAGTGGCCTCTGTTCGATTACCTTTTCTTTCTCGAAACGGTTCCAGAGGAAAGAAGGTAATTATAGTCAGTGTTTTTTTTTTAAACTAGCAAATAATTTAAAGTTTTGATAACATGTTTGTTTTTTTTTTCAGTACGATATCCAACATAGAGGAAGAGTCACAGGAAAGCAATGACGAGGCGGTTCTGATGCAGACCATAATTTGGTAGAAGAGACGCAAAGTACAATAATTGACTTAGAGCAGTCTTCTATTGCCACGCCGTCAACGTCCAGTGTGGCAAGTACCTGCACCCCTGTCAGAGCCCATAAGATAAAAATGACTGATAACATTTCAAAATTACTTAAAGAGAACAAAAAGGCCAGAGAGAAAATCGTCGAAACATTTCTGGATAAAACCAATGTTCCTCAAGAAGAAGAAGTAGATGTGTTCTACAGAAGTATCGCTTTAAGTGTAAAACGACTTTCCCCGCATTTAATTGCAAAACTTCGACATTTAGAAACTATAAATGAGTTACAATTGCTAGCATCTCAACCACAGGATTTACCTCAACAGCAAAATAGGTCTTTAGCTGTAAAGAGTCGCAATGGCAAGGGTATAATAATAATCAGGATCAATACGACCAATTACGATATCTTAATTTAGATTAAAGTTAAATCATATCTGTTATTTGTCATAAAAAATAAATATTTTTTCATTTACCTTAACGTTACACCTAATTTTTCTTCAGCTGCTATCGGTCGTTGAATTATGTTGGTGGGCGCTTTCTTAATGTCTGTTTTAATGGCAGATAAAACGAAGTGAAACTGGTTTTTTGTTAGTCTAAAGAACTGCTGAAATTTTTCTTCATCGTCCACTAGGTATTTACATATTAAATTTTTATAAGTTCCTTATTTCTTCGTCGAAACATCATGTGCTGTGTTCTTCTCTGAACATTTCTGTTAATTATGCGCACAATGGTTTCGTCTTCTTCTTCGCCTAATAAGTAAGGAGCTAATAATGCACCACGATGCATCGTTTCACAATGAATGCTCAAAACGAACTGACTAGACAGCGACTTTTTAAAAACACTTGCATTTGCACTGCACAAGGTGAACCACTTCAACTGCCAGTAGTAAACGCAGCAGCGGCTGCATGCGTCTGCTGCACAAGTGCTGCACAAGCCTTTACACAACAAATAAACAGATTTAATGCCTTAGCTAGTTTCATTGTATCAGCTTCGCCCCAGCAGTAAATCTGTTACTTCTAGTTCTAGTTAAACAAATAACTATTTTATTAATCGTAGACTATAAACATTTAATCAAAACCAAATTTAAACTATAATTACGTATAAAACACGTTTATTAAATTGATATGTGTAGCCTGGGTAATTTTAGAATTTTAAAATGATAATGAGCCCATAAAAGAGTTGTTTTTTTTTCAAACTGATTGCTAATTTTGGTACGCTATAAATTAAAAACGACGATAAGAATCCCAATAAATTTCAATAAATTTCGAATAAATATGCAAACACGATGATGATGATGCACTGTATAGGCACGGTGCACACAGTAACTAATATGAGGATCGCCTGATCTACTTCCATAAATATTCATTAAAAGCTGTACGAAGTTATTACTGTAAACATTGGGACAGCTTCCTCTCTTTTAATTGCTTGTTTATTCCTTAAATTATCTTTTTATTTAGTGTTATTGCGCTCCTATATGAAATCATAAAAATATAAGAACATGAGGGCTGAAACAAATCATCGCTGAGCGTCTTTTCTTCAGTTAATACCTGAGGTTTTGTGGTTTTGTTGGTTTTGAATGTGTTGTTTGCTAGATAAAGAGATAATTCCCTCACTCAAAGTTATATAAAGTTGGTATAATTAATTAAATTGTTGCAATTGTGCTTCTATTAATAATTTATAAGATAGTATCTATGAAAAACTAACTGATAAAGAGCAAGAAAATACTTACGACAACATGGAAATAAATTTAAGGAATAGTTGAACGTTTTTGATATAACAAATAAAGTCCTTATCAGATAAAGCGGTAAATGAAATAATGGAAATAATAAATTACACATATCGTCGCCCATTTTACAAAAAAACATAACTCATTTTTTGCAACTTTTCAAGAGAGCGATTTTAAGATTTTAAAAATGAGGTGGTCTCAGTTAATTAATCATAGTAAGGAAATGCAACTCCCAATTTACTTGATTTCTTGAACAAGTGTAGCTATAGAATGTAATTTGTATTGCCTTATGCTATTCATGAGTTATTGTGAGAAGTAACCTAGAGGTTTTCTTGAGATATGCCCTTTTGAGACGGGAATTTTTCAAAAAATCCTTGAGTTAGGTCCGATGACATGCAATATTAAAACACAATGCAAATTGATTTTAATGCATTTTTTGTTAACAAACATGATATTTTTGATTTTTGTTTTTTGTAACATTATTGAGGAATATAAATGGCCTTATGAAATATTTCTTTTTAAACAAAATAATTTTTTAATATTTAAAAAAAAAAACTTAAAAACAAAGATTTATTAATATTATATTGTAAGTACTTAGTTTTTGGTACCAGGGAAAACTAATTATTCGTGGGGTAAGTGAGTATAAAAATACCTGTGGTCCTCCGACCTTATAACACTCTTCTCTCCTTGATATAGAGAGTACAAGTCTCTATATTTAAGGTTCGGTATCTTTATTAGGCCTGTATTTAATTTAGGAACTGGATTCTTAAGAGGGTGATTAGACTCTATATTTCTCTTAAGAGAAATGCTGCTGTATGATGAGCAGTTAAGTTTAGTTTTGAACTGAATTGTATTTGGCTTTAGTTTCGTAACTAGCAGCTCAGATACCTTTGTCCAGTCAACGGTGTCACTGGAATTGTCACATTTTCGATTGGTCAGGATTCGTAGATTTTTAAACAGTTCCTTGACAGCTAGAAACTTTTCAGGATTCATCTCTTCTACATTGTAAGGGTGTTTGCGTAGTTTTTTGTTTGATTTCTTCCATTTTGATGTACCTTGCAATGTACTCTCTTTGTAACTGCAAGGATCCCATTGAATAAAAATCTTGCATAATCTTTTATCTTTTACCATCACTGAAGAGACTACATTTCTTATTACGTTTTGAACATGATTCCCCATATGCCCTTATTTGACATAGATATTAAATTTGGTTGATGTTTTCTCGAAAGGGTTTATTTTGAGTTGAGCCATTTTGTAAAAATAATAATTCGTCTCGACTGAGATATGCCGAAACACACTTTTCCCCATAACTTTGTTCCCTTTTATCGAGAGATATGCCGTTTTGAGAGAAGAAAATATACGCTACGGGGCACAACGTCCACTATATAACTCAAAATCGACAAAAAATGAGTTCTGCCCTTTTGTAAAAATAGTGACGATAACCTAAAAAATAAACATAGTTTTTACTTTCCTATCTGTATACAGATATAAGGAAATTATAGGAATCATGATTTTTTTCGACCTCGAGTTTTCGACGGATTTTTACGTTTTGAGGTCCCCTGAATCCGTTTTGACTATTCGTAGATTTTTAAACAGTTCCTTGACAGCTAGAAACTTTTCAGGATTCATCTCTTCTACATTGTAAGGGTGTTTGCGTCTAGCCAGTCTTATTATACTTGTTAATTGTGAGGGTATAAAAATATCTTCTGCTCCTTTAACGGCATATCCTATGGCACTATGTGCACTATCCCCTTCACTTTGTCCGTGGTGGGGGCTCAAAAAACGTGATACGAATCTCATCTAATGTTATTTATGCAATAAAGCATCATTGTAAGTAAAATTGTATTTTTGTATTGGCCAGCACAGCCATCGCAATATAAGTGAACAACACTTTTGTTTTGGGATTCAAATTTTTTTATAGAAGTGTAAACGCAAGTGGCAACCTCTTTTACTAATTACCTCGTACCACAAATAGCAATCACAGTCTCTAAATGCTATATCATATACAGTAAAGTTGTAAACTGACAACCTTCTTTTTGTAGAATATAGCACTCTCCTATGATATTGGAAGTGAAAAAACTTGTTGCAAGTCAAAAACAGCACAAGCATACTTTGAGTTTAGTTGCTAAGCCATTTGTTTACTTTCATCTTTCATTTTTCTAACGTTATTTTTTCTAATGATGTATGATTCATATTCTAGTGATAACTTCTTTTTTTCTTCATCGCCATTATTATATGACATACAAAGGCTGCATTGATCCTTTTTAGGTCGGTAAAAGGATAAGTCCATAGATTTCAATACTTTGCGGGACACAGAATAAGCTCCTTTCATTAGAGGTCCAGATTCATCTGCTAGATACATGGAAAACATCTTCAGTAGACTAAGATTTTCATGTAAATATTCATGAGTTAAATTTTGACGGCAATAATGAGATTCAACTCTTCCAAATTAAAATTATTTATGTGTTCGATAATTCCATTAATTATTTGAAGGTCTCTATCGACTTGTGACTTATACCTTTCTCCTCTTTGTTCTTTTTCTATAATTCCAGTTGTACTTTTCTTTGATAATGTTGTACTTATAGCCTCTGCTGTCGTTGCCAGAGTATTAATAAAAAATGTTTTACAAACTGGTAGTTCGTCGCCGTTTAACAGAAGAAAGTAATAATGGCTTTTATTTCTTCGAGATACCTCTTTTTGTGTAGTTTTTGTTTGATTTGTTCCATTTTGATGTACCTTGCAATGTACTCTCGTTGTAACTGCAAGGATCCCATTGAATAAAAATCTTGCATAATCTCTTGTCTTTTACCATCACTGAAATGACTACATTTCTTATTACGTTTTGAGATCCATTGCATCGAGGTCCCAATTGTTATGGTGGCATGAGGTTCATTGTTTCCGGTGTTTCATAACACTGTCCTTTGTTCTTTAGTTCTTTGGCTAATTTATATGAATTTATTTTCCTGACTTTTTTAAATGAAACTTCTCTTGGAGATCCCTCGACTGGAAACAAGCTCTCCGGATTGTAATCTTGGTGTGAGCGGCAGTTAGTATCTGCTTCAAAGTGTTCAAAACAGAGTAAGACTTTTAAGCAGATACAAGCACTATATACTTCAAATGAACAATTTGGGTGTTCACAGAGCTTTTCGTTGCTGTCTTCATTACCTAAATTAGCTGCTTCATTTGCCTTCGGGCTTCTTTTATTTATCTTTCTAGACTTTTCTTTGATTCTTTATTTGTCCGTTTCTAGACTAAATAAGTGACGCCGACATAGATCATGATTATTACAAACAACTTCTTTGCAAAGTAATGCACTACACTTGTTAACGCCTTTGTTTTTACATTTTTTCGCGGTACATTCATAAACAACAAAATCAGGGTCTTCATCACTGTAATCTCCAAATAGTGAGTTCTCACTTTCACTATTGGATTGATTATACTTTCGTTTTTTTAGCTTCTCTTGTTATCGGCCGTCTCAAAAGTGTGTTTAATACATCAACTTTATTCTTGTTTTTTTTTTTAACAATGGGAGGAATATTATCATCAGAGCCACATACGCTTAAAGGAGATTTTGATAAGCCAACTTCCTCATCATTAGAGCTGTTGTACTGTGCGTCACTATCATCATCATTTTCTGTAGCAACTATTATTCCATAGTAGATATTTCCACCATAGTCCATTTTTACTTTTTTATATTTTTCGAAACGGTTTGATCCATCAATGTGACAATTCTTTAATTGCAACAACATTTTCTGTTCCATCTTCCCAATTAATTAAAACATCCATGATTATTAATTAGTTATCTGAAACAAATAATAATTACAGGTACTTACCTACATAATACAAAAATATTTTTAATAAGTGCTCCGCTAAATAGTATATTGTATTCCTAGGCAGTAAAGTGCTTTTGTATGCCTCAAGAAGTAGCCAGGCTCGGCGTAGTGGTTTATACATAATTTTTTATCCTACACAATAATTGTTTTCAAAAACTATAAACGTCTAATCTCCGTTGGACCAAAGTATATTAACCGTTGAGTAGCGACATAAAACGTCGGTGCCTTTGATCTTGGGTGGTGTAAATTTTCTTTCTTTCTCTTTTGACGTTATTGACAGAACGACACAGTAAAACACTGCTCGAATTATGAACTGGTCTTGAATGTGATGTTTATACTGCTCGACGTAATTTGAAGTAAAACTCTGTTGTAGTTTACATTTATAATAAAGGTTTGGTCATTAGGCAGTTTTATATTTATGAGTATTTAACTTATGTAGTAAATATAAAAATATATATCTCTTATAGCACATACATTTCCTGGCATAACTAAAAACCCACAAAACCCCAAAAAATCTTAACAAAAACACAATAAAAGAGCACTAATCAATCCACAACAACGAATTCCTATATTAGCTGCCGGACTAAAGTGAAAGGGGTTGTTTACATCTTTAGAAGACGTCTCGCCTCTCTATTTCGCGTCGGCGCATTAGAATTTGGTTGGACTTGTATTATAGATAAAAAATGACGTCGCAAAACAAACATCAAACATGACAGCTTATTACTTTAATGATTCGATATACGTCTAATCTCCTTGAAGCCAGTAAAATTCAACTTTCTCATAGTGAAGAATAAAAATTAAATTACATTCAGCCCTATATAACTGGGCCAAAATGAACCTATGGTAGATTAGGTACTGTTGGGACAAATATGTCACTCATTGCAATTACGCTTATTTTTCGATGAAAATAACTGTCAATCTTAATCTAAATCTTAATATACATAATTAGTAATACATAATAATAATAATAATAATAATAATAATAAATTGTTTATTACAAAATAAAGTTTTAAAATTACAAAGAGAAAAAATAGATTAAATTTATGAACTCAAGTAATAAACAAGGTAATCCATTTAGGCCCATCAGGCCTGTCTATGGTATAGCCGTTTATTAAAATAATTTTATTAATTTAATCTTAGCAATATTTCTTAACACATGTAAAAAATGTAAACAAAAAGAGTACTGTTAAAAAACATATTAAAAGGTAAGTACATTTATAGCTTAAAAACTAATCTAATATAGTAAAAAGTAAGAAACGTAAGAAAAGTAAGAAAGTAAAAAGAAGTAAAAAAAAGTAAAAATAGTAAAAATAGTAAAAACAGTAAAAACAGTAAAAACAGTAAAAAAAAAAGACAAATAGATAAACATTTGTTGAGAGTGTTGATTCTATATTTTTTAATAAATAAATTTTTCTTTTTTTATTCTATTATATCATCAAAATTTTCATGAAGGATCCATTGTTTTAACTTGTGTTTTACTCTTCTAAAGTCTTTAATCTGTCTCAGCTCTTGCGGTAGCTTATTATATAATCTTGGTATAACATAAGTGTGACATCTTTGACCTAAGTCTTTATTCACTCTAGGTAAGTAAACATTATTTGCTAGATTTGATCTTGTCAAATAATTGTGATCAATTATTGTGGATGTAACAATATTATGTTTTATTGCAAAAGTCAGAGATGTTTTGACAAATAATCTTCTTATATCTAAAATTTGCATATCGTGAAATAATTGGTTAGTTTGTTAGATAGTTATTTCACAAAGAATCTTCAATAAAAATACTATATAACTAGAACTTAAATCGTCAAAGAATTACCACACAATGTGCTCACTAAAGATAACATAGAAACTGTGAGGTTATGTTATTTTGTCGCGCAAACGAATCTCGTCTTTATGAATTTGAATGTGTGGTTCCCCTATACCTACCTACAGTATTTTTAAATTGTCCCGTGACAAATGAAACTCTGCAATGTTTTCAAAACCAATATTTTGAAGAAAAAAGTCGTAGAGGAGTTAAAACTTTATTTATTTAGTTTTTTTTTTTTATATATATTAAATTGAGATATACCCTTATGTGAGACAGATGTTAAATTTGGTTGAGCCATTTTGTAAAAATAATAATTCGTCTCGACTGAGATATGCCGAAACACACTTTTCCCCATACTTTATCGCCTTTTATCGTAGAGATATGCCGTTTTGAGAGAAGAAAATATAGGCTACGGGGCACATCGTCCACTATATAACTCAAAATCGACAAAAAATTAATTATGTCCTTTTGTAAAAACAGTGACGATAACCTAAAAAATAACCTAAAAAACCCAATGGTGTGTTTAAAAACGCTATGATGACTAAGAAACATATCTTTGACCAATTTCAATGAGGAGTTACTACATGGGAGGTAAAATGCTCGTGGATTTAAGGCTTTTATTCTAGATTATACTCCAAATTTACCGCCTCTCATCTTGGCTCAATTATCGTAAGTCTGTCCTCTCAATCCCAATATTTCAAGTCTTTTAAATCTATTTTTCAGAAAAAAGTCTAAGAGGTTTAATTTTAATAAGACCTCATTGTGATTGGATTTGTCAATGAATACATACCTTAAGATTGTCATTTGTCCGATCTTGCTGATATCAGGAGGACAACCTAGAATAATAGAATAATATGTAGCTCACATGTATATTAGCTTATCTACATACAGATTACGAAACGAAAAAGTATGTTATTGCGTTCAACTGAACGAATATATTTCATATCCATTCTAGGTAGTAAGAACACTACAGTTCATATTTTGATCAACCAAATATTATTTTTAAAATTTTAAATAAGTAACAGTTCTGTCAAACTAATTATCAGTATATGTTTTAGTTATTGAGATTAAACATACGAAAAAGTTTCCGTTGTTCGTATATTTTTTTTTACTTTTATATTTCTGAAAATTAACCACACCTTTCAAATCATTCAAATCAACACCAAGTTGTTGTCAACCAATAAAATTTGATTAATTTCCGTGTTTAAATCGTTTAATAAACTAAATAAAGTTTTTAATAAGCCTGATGACGAATCTACCTAACCTCCACGTCCGTAATTTATAATTTACCGTCCCATATCAAACGAATGTCTTATAATAATGAGCTCAACGGTATGTAACACCATTAGTTTGTCATTTGTCAAGAGCAGTAACGCGAATTTATGGGGCATCTCATAAATCGTAATCCGCGTTGTGTAACGGGCTTCATTCTACCCATGATGGTAGATATATGGAGCCCGGTGACGGGCGGTGGGAGAAGAACTCGCATTTCGTCTGTCATCGATGCGACAAAAAAATTTGACGGGGCAAAAATAGTTTGACAAATGAGGAATGTCAACATTTTGATTTTCGGTCAGTGACAGGTTGATTAAGTTATTTTTATCAGATTGACATTAATGTTACTATTTACCGAATGTGATATAATAATAATAATAAGAGAGTTTATTCATACATATAAAATTATACAACAAAATAAAATAAAAGCTGATCATAAACTACAAAATTCTGCAAAGTTGCAACTTGTTGTTTGATTAATGCTCAAAACATTTTTATATTCATTATCATCCTCCAAAATAAAATCATCTACTCTGTCTATCTGAAATCGTTTTAAAATCTAAAATTACTTATACTAGGTACAATAAAATTAATTAAAATATTATAATTTATTAAAATTAGACATATCTTTTTCCTCTCCGTCTTCAGACTCTTTATGAGAATATTGCGATTCTTCCGGCTTCTCACACCGATTGGTCAGAGTAATATTATGTTGTTTCCTTATATTATTGAATATGTCAGAATTTTCCAGGTCTCTTAAATTGTAAGGTTTACTTTCGATATAAAGAAAACCTCCTTTCGGATGGGTTTTCTCATTGTGTTTTCTAGCTTCCTTCAGATAGGGGATCAGTCTTTTTTGCTCTTCTCTTTCTTCAAGAGTTAAGACTTCAGAAATTCTTAAGTTTGTGTCCTTTAAGTTGTGACAATTTCTAGGTATGTCCAGTTTTGTTAGATAGCTTACTGCCTGCAGAATGATGAGTGTATTCTCCAATTTTTTTCGTATAGTGTATATATATTATTGATGTGGTGTTTTTCAATTTTTAATTTCAGGACTTTATTCAATTATACAATTGTATAAATAACTAAGTAAGTCACCTGTTTTGTTTGTACGTTTTGATATTTTACTTTTTGTTCGTTTGTTTTCTGTTCTATTTTATTAATTCTCTCAGATTCCTTCTCTATTTTTAAGTTTATTTCTGCAATTTGTGAGCTAAGAAGTTCTTTTAATTGTTCGGTTTGTATTATATTTTGTTCTTTTATAAATGTTGACAATTTTTCAAATATATCATCCGCACTAGGGAATTGTCAGTTTTGTTTGTACATTTTGTATGATTTTATATTCCCTGGGTATATTTTTAAAGTTTTTATAGTTTTAAGAATGTTTTTTAAAGAATTTTGTTAGTTGTAAGTCTAAAAATTACTATTCAATATATGTTTTAAATATTCTAAAATATACGTAAAATACATTTTATGGATAATTTCATTAATTTGGATTTAAAAATACTTATAAATAGTACTTCTAGCACGAAAACGTATCCTACCAGAGGGAACCAGTGAAAGACTTAACAAAATCTCGCCAGATCGTATTAATTTCTTAGTTGGATCCCTTCGGGACGGTCTGTGCATCGCTCAGGCCGCCCGCGCTCATCGCCTCACTTCCCACAGCTCTTTAAAAGGTAACGCTGAGATACGTTGTGTTTCAACTGCATTTTTGGTTGATCGGCGAGCTTATAGTATGTGATATATATAATTCAATTTTGGTTTTGTAGGTGTATATTATTAGTTTTTTGTTAATTGGCCAACTCAAGTTTCCATCGTACACGAAAGACATAGAAGTGCACTTTATAAATTAATAAACGCGTACGAGTAAAAGCTTGCTGCTAAAAAGGACCGCAAAATAGAATTAATGTATAAAAAGTAGGTAAATAAAATGGTAAAAGGGGAATAAAAGGGGTATGAAAGGGTATAAAAAGGAAATAATACAAATATTTCTAGAAAAATATCAATATCAGAAAATATCAACATTTTGGTAAAATAAAGTTCCAAATTTATAAAAATAAATTTTAATTTTAAAAAAATTTAAATTTTGAGAAAGAAGGTCAACATTAAAAAGTCAATATTTTTAGAAAAAATGTCAACATTTTGAAAAAATAAAGTCAATGTTAAATTTTGGAGCAAATGTAATTATACAAAATTTAAAAAAAGTTAAAAAAAAACAAAATTAACGTAATTAAATACTGAAGATCGGTCGAAAAGAAATTAAAAAATTTAATTTTTTTAAATTTTCTCAAAATATAAACTTCAAACTTTTTAGATTTTTTAAAATTTTGACATTTTGGTCATAAATAAATAAAATTAAATAACTATTATCGATCTATAAATTATGTTCCGGTTATATAATATTATTTTCAAAGGTAATTAAAAAAAAGTCCGTTATGATTTATTAGCGATAAAATTTTTATTACTGGAATTGTAAAAATCTCGAAACCCAATAAAATAATATTTTACAGGTGTATGTTTGTGTGTTGCGGTGTGAGGTGTGACAACCGACACTGACCGATTGACACAATCATTGCAACGCCAACTGGATTTTATATGGACCCAAAGCGTTCAGTAGGCAGCAGCGTGTCGGTATGTGTGTTTATAAATTTATTGATTGGCAATTTTTAGTGTCCATCGAATAAATTTAATGAAGTTTCACGGCTGGCTACATCTCGACCGATTTATGGATTCGCATTTGATGATTCCATGCGGTTTTCGAATTATTCGAATAACATTTCTAATTTTATTCGAATATTATTACCTGCACTACCCGAAGAATCGTTAGAATTGACAAGTGGAATTTGGTAAAATACGTCTATAGTTGAACACGGTATATTGCCGTGAACTTTTGCATAAACCTTCTAGGCACTCTAAAAAACATTGCAGACAACAAATTTTATCTCGGCAAGACGTTTAAACTCTATCTTATATCTAATAGCTTACATATTTCGTAGATATACATATAATAAAAACTTTTATATTAGAACTTATTTTAAATTGTTCGTGCCGTAAATTAAAGTAAATTACTTAAAATTAAAACTATTAAATAATGGATCAATACATAAGAGAATTTGATATCCCAGAAATAGAAACTTTTGAACTAGATGATATATTTCAATGTGAGGTATTAAAAATAAATGAGAACAATAAAAATTTTACAATAATTCATAATAAAAAAGGCAATGCCAAAATAAAAATAGAAGATTATGGAAGTCATTATGCTATTGAAATCGAGGAAACCATATATATCTCGTATTTCTTAATTACTAGTTCATAGAAAACTCTTTGAGAAGCTACTATTAAAAGGTCCAAAGTGATCTTCTAATTCCTGGTGGAGCCTTTGGCCACTTATAAAAAGAAATATTGGGCATCTTTAATGATGAATTTTATAGCCTTTTTCTTAATAAAAATTGTCTATTTTGACCACTCCATTTGTGGACAGGGGCGGTTTCTCCATTGGTTCATTTGTGCAGGAAACACCCAGTTACATTTCATAAAAACATAATTGATAAATAGGGGGTTAAGATGGGTTGATATTAAAAAAATCCTATATTAAAACAGAAAAACAAAAAGTGATAACAACATGATATTTTTAGCAAAGTGAACACCCGTTTTAAATTACTACGAACCGCCACTGATATTGAATTTTTATTTGCCGTGAGTTTTTCAAAATTGTCTCATAAAGTCGACATAAAGTGTGTTATAAAAGTAAGGTGAGTAAGCATATTCTGTTTTACAGAAAAACAAACAAAAAAAACAATCCAGGACCCAACATCATTAGTATAAATTCCCGACGAAGGTATCCCCGTACGACATTTTGACAGACCAATGCATTCGAAAAGGTGGCGCTGCGATCGCGAGCAGCTCCTCGCGGCAACAATCAGCTCGGTGTCTCCATAAATTAAGGCCTTTGTTAGTCGGTTATACAGCCATTCAGGCGTTCTCGTGGCCTCCTAGACGATCGCGATGGGGTTCATTAAATTCGTTATCGCGTCGCTCGACCGACGAAACTTTTAAATTTATTTCACTTATCGGTATTCCGACGACTGTGGCGACGCCTGGCGTCTTAACAACAGGATCGTACTTGACTTCTAGACGTAATTGTCTAATTCTGTCGTATAACGCGCAGAATTTTCAAGAACATATCTCAACTTTCTTTTAGTACCTGTAAAAAATTAAATATTTAAGTATAGTAGTACATAGCCACTTGCACTGGGACAAACATACTCAATCACCAATGCTAGAAGGGAATTTTGTATCATAGTCTTTTCGAATGTCGTCTCAAATATGGAATGTTTAACAAAAATATAAGGTATCCTGCTGAAAATGTGTATCAAGAAACCCAAATATTCGACTCGTAACGGGAGCATAAAGAATTGATAGAAAAATTAGATTAGACGCTTCGGACTCTGAACTAGAGTACGAAAATGTAAATGAATTGGATGAAGAGAATGAAGATGTCAAAAAAACTGTTTCGGATACAGAAGGCAACCTAGAAGTAGAGAACGAAGAAGATTTGAATCAAGAACCTGTTCCAGGTTTGAGAATACCAGTATACACCCCAAAATCTGGTCTAGAGTGGAAAATTCGGCCATTCGTTAGAACCAAAAGGCGAGGTAGAAATATTATAAATGCCCGTCCAGGTCTTACCAAATACAGTGAAAAGACAAGTACATATCTGGAATTTTTTAACTTGTTTTTTACAACGGAAATGAAAGACTTGATTTGTCGATTTACTAACGAGGAAGATACTAGATATTATAATGAATGGAATAAAACATATCCAAACAAATCAAAGAAGTGGACTCTTTGTGAAGCCGATGAACTAGACTGTTTTATAGGCATCCTTCTCAAAGCTGGAGCATCGTTTTTTACAGCTGCCATGTCTAGAAATAGGTTTGAACAAAGATCTTGCTTTCTGCATTTTGATGACAAGCCTACTCGAGAAGAGAGAAAAAACTGGACAAAATGGTGGCCATTAGTGATATTTGGAACATGTTTGTAGAAAATAGCAAAAAGGCTTTTGAACCATACGAGAACATTACAGCTGACGAACAGTTAGTGTGTTTATTTATAACTCCCTCACAATCACACAAAACTGTCGATAACTCTTCATAAGTGAGACAAGCCTTACCTAAAACTCTTCTTAAAAGTTGTTTTAAAATTCGAATTAACCTTTCCCAAAAACCTCCTCACCAAGGCGCCGATGGAGGGTTGAATGTCCAATTAATTTTACTGACTGATGAAAGACTTTTCCAGCTCAATTTTCCAAACGCGTTTTCACTTCCCACAAAGTTCGTACAGTTGTACCTGTATATCACCGCAAGTCTTCCTCTCCTGGCAATGAATCTACGAGGACAATGACGTCAACAACTCCAGATGGACTGCTCTATAGACAACTCACGTAAACAACGGTACCCATGACTTTTCTCTACCTTTTACATATAAAAGACCCGCCAAATCAACTCCAACAATTTCGAAGGCAGAGGCATCTCGAACCCTTAGTTCTGGAAGAGCAAAAGGAGTGGATTGTACGCCTTTATTAGAAAATCTTTCACATTTTATACATCCGTTAACAACACATCTAATACTTTTACGTCCTCCCAGAATCCAAAACTTTTCTCTCAACTGACATAGTAAACCTTGAACACCGACATGACAAAGTCTAATATGTTTTTCCATGATGAGCCTTTTAACAAAAATATGTTTTCCTGGCAATAAAGTTGGCTGAGTAAAGTCAAAAGTATCTACACGATTTAAGTTTTATCGCAATTCTTAATAAGCCATTTTCATCTCTAAAAGGCTGTAAGTAGCTGATAGATATTTCATCAACACTATCCGGAAAAGCTTCCATTTGAATAAGTTTCAGAACAACTAATTCAGCTTCACAAAATTCAGCAGCTGACAATTCCCCTCTTACAC